GGTGGTAGTGTTGGTGGTGGTGGTAGTGTTGGTGGTGGTGGTAGTGTTGGTGGTGGTAGTGTTGTTGGTGGTGGTAGTTTTAGTAGTGGTAGTGCTGGTAGTGGTGATAGTAGTGATAACTGAAATGATCCTAATAATTTATTGCAGAAGTTATTAGCTTCCCTTACAACACGTTCCCTCACAACACCTTCCCTCACAACACCTTCCCTTACAACACCTTCCCTTACAACACCTTCCCTCACAACACCTTCCCTCACAACACCTTCCCTCACAACACCTTCCCTCACAACACCTTCCCTCACAACACCTTCCCTTACAACACCTTCCCTCACAACACCTTCCCTTACAACACCTTCCCTCACAAACACCTTCCCTCACAACACCTTCCCTCACAACACCTTCCCTCACAACACCTTCCCTCACAACACCTTCCCTCACAACACCTTCCCTCACAACACCTACAATAAACACTAAAATCATAACCTCATAAGCGGCAGTAATTTGGTCTTAATTCTCTGGACTAATGCAGTAATTACCTCTAATCACCTCGTGTATAAGGCTCATGTTGAAATGACCAAATATTCATTCCACCAGGGAATGTACACACGGAATGGTCCATATTTTTCAAAGAAACTGGAAGGAATGAGGTTGTGTGTGTGGTAGTTAGTGGCAGTAGTAGTACCATTAATGCCAGTTGCTGTAGCAGTTACTGACCACTCAGTGTAGGTTACTCAAAGCTCACAGGCCTAACAAAATACATAAACAATGAAAACTAGGATAATGTCATCAAAGAACATAAGCAAAGAACACACTCAACACAAATACTATCATGACAGGCTATAATGACCAGCATTAATTACTCTCACTAAGTTATGTCAAAATAATCTTAAAATATCCCCGAGGTCCCTACGGACACCTCGGTAATTGTAAAAATCACGACGCAGGTGGAATGGGTTAAGCCGATAGCAAACTTCTTAACATATGTTCAACAGTCAATGGCATGACACAGGTTACACAGAGAAGGACAGCAACATCTGCGAACAGGTGGCTATGAGCGAAGTGTGTTTGTGCCCGATCTTCAGTCGACAGAGAATAGTCTCAACGTGACGATCCCTGTTGAAGGGGGCCAAAAACCCACGTTTTGTTGAACCCGTGTAACTTGTTGCCAGTCTGTAGGGCCCACTGGGCCAGCCACTTCCCAAGGTGATATCTGTGGATACAGTCTATGAACGGACATCCGTCCGTTCACTGACCAGGACGCCAACATGGCTTGGAACACCTATAGTGGAGTTTGTGGTAGTGGTGGTGGGGTAGGTAATAGTTGAGTGGCAGGATAATGGTAACTGGATAGCAGAGTAATGGGAACTGGGAGGCAGGATAATGGGAACTGGGAGGCAGAGTAATGATAACTGGGAGGCAGAGTAATGATAGCTGGGTGGCAGGGTAATGGTAGCTGGGTGGCAGGGTAATGGGAATGGGAGAGACAAACCAGGTGGTCTTCCGTGAAGACTGGCCAAGTCATCGTCTTAAGAAGTGTGTGTGTTAAGGTAAGCACCAGAGACAGTGTTCCCACATCAGGGTTGCCAGTCTTGCCAAGTTTTCTCATTAGTGGTCAATAAATCTGCCTGGTAACACTTTCTTACAAAAGACTGATGCTGGAGAACCAGGTGTGTCTCATTACAAGTGTGTCTTACTGCAGGTGTGCTTCTCATTACAAGTGTCTCAGTGCAGGTGTGTTTCTCATTACAGGTGTGTGTGTGTGTGTGTGTGTGTGTGTGTGTGTGTGTGTGTGTGTGTGTGTGTGTGTGTGTGTGTGTCTCACTGCAGGTGTGTCTCATTACAAGTGTGAGTGTCAATTACAGGCGTGGGTCATTTACAGCTTGTTTAACTGAAGTGTAAATGGCATAACTGAAGTGTAAATGGTACATAGGAGGCGTGTATATGGTGTAAATAGGAGGGAGGCGTGTATATGGTGTGCAGTGATGCGGTTTGGGTGCTTCTGAGGCTTGTGTGAGAATATAGAGGGCGTGGAGGATGGGGAGTGGGTGTGGAGGATGGGGAGTGGGTGTGGAGGATGGGGAGTGGGTGTGGAGGATGGGGAGTGGGTGTGGAGGGGAAGGGTGTTGAGAATGGGGTCACGGATAAGTTCTCTAATTAGAACTTACGAGTCCACTACCACCACCACTACTAGTGCTACAACTATTACTAACTATATGTATGCTAGCAGCTGCGCAAGCCAAGGAATGGTATCTCAGTATACCATCAGCCCAGCCTCCAACTCAATGCACGTAAAAGAAATATTGTAGACACAAAAGTACGCTACAGTAACAAAAATATGTATACGTATGTGTGTGAGTGTGTGTGTGTGTGTGTGTGTGTGTGTGTGTGTGTGTGTGTGTGTGTGTGTGTGTGTGTGTGTGTGTGTATTTTTGTACGCATGTTCACTTTCATACGTATACATGTATGTGTGTATGTTACGGGAAAAGTTACATGAGAGTGGAAGCATGATTGAGGGGGGGTGGTAGTGTGAATGATTGAATGCTTATTGAGCATTGGGCGCACATTATCTCTGTACAACCTCCCCTTCTCCACCCGGTAGCTGTTAACAAGGGACTCTCCTGGCGAGTTCCCATCTATTAACTTTCTGCTCCCACCAAGTCTGTATGAAATTCCACTCGTTTCATTTGATATGTGTTGGTTTTCTCGTTTGTTACTTTAACTGGACCTGATCTGACTTACGTATTTTAACATTTTTTTTTTCGTTAGTCCTCATCATTTCTTTTAAAGGCTTTCTATCACTTGACTGCTTGTCCAAGTTTTTAACACTGTTGTTTGTCTCTTTTTACCCTTTTTTTGATCGAACTGGGTCACTCGACACCTGCGAGACAAGGCGGGCACTTTGATTTATACACTAGATCAAAAACTTGACCTCATCTGCAACTGAACACAGGAGTGTTGCTCCTGCCTTTGTAACTGATCATCTGTTGCATTTAACGCCCTGCAGCAAACCTACATAGAGTACACCAAGCTGTGAAGCAACTGTTGGCGTCTGTACTCTCAGTCCAGGGCTGAAGTTTACACCAGTCACGTCCACCAGTGACTTCCTCGTCTCAGTCTTCCCGTTCACACACCGTGACGACTCGCAGCTACTTGCCACATCCATCGGCACATCGGGAATTCCATCCGTCTGGTGTATATATTACCTTCGTTTCACCACATTCATTTATGCATTACATTTTTCATTATTTACTGTAGCTGGAAAAATTTTCATCTTTTAACTTAAACTGTATTTTTTTATTTTTCTACATTTTCATTTCATAAAGGACTTTTTTTTTTCAAATACCCGATACAGCAATACCGGCAATAGTATAGTACTATTTCTAGTACTCCTAGTGCTAAAATTAATAGTAATACCACTAAGACTGCTACTCCTAACTGCACTACTATTACTACTGCTCCTAGTACAACCATTACTAGCACTATCACTACTACCACCATTACTAGAACACTACTACCACCATTACTAGAACACTACTACCACCATTACTAGAACACTACTACCACCATTACTAGAACACTACTACCACCATTACTAGAACACTACTACCACCACAGTTATAGAAACACATCCACTCCCCCTCCCCCCTCCCTCTACAGGCCATTTTTAAGCCTACAGCTTGTACGTATAAAGAGGAGGGGGGAATAAGAGGTGGTAGAGGATGAAGGGAAATTAAAGAGGAGAATCAAGAGAATGAGGAAGAGAAAATAAGGTAAAAAAAGAGAAATAGAAGAGACGAGTCAGTCAGTAACCTGATGACTAATAATTACCCCCACGAGTTGCTCGTTAATTATCGGGTTATTAGGCTGTTCAGTGACTGTCATTAAGTGTGCATGATTAGGATTTACCAAGAGATCGTTCAGTGACACCCAAGTCACGGTGATCAGCTGATCACTACACCTGAGGCCCTTATCCCGTACCTGGGACCCTTATCCGGTGCCTGGGGCCCTTACCAGTACCTGGGGCCCCTTGTTCCGTACCTGGGGGTCCGTGTTCCGCACCTGGGGCCCCTTGTTCCGTACCTGGGGCCCTTTGTTCCGTACCTGAGACCCTTATCCCAAACCTGGGGCCCTTATCCCTCTCGAGGCCCCTACCCCGTACCCGAGGCCTTTATTACCTCCCTGATCATCTTTATCCCATATATGAGATTCTAATCCAACATACTTATACCCAGAAACAAGGGATGGAGAAGCGATCTTCTATTCAAGGCCCACATGAGTTTAGCTCTTCATGTAATAAAAAATTTCAGGCAATTAGGTAGGATTCATAATTACATAGGATGCATGTTCCATAAATTACCTTCAATTACATTAATGTCATGTATTATATTAATATTTTAATTACATTCCTCCCTCCAGCGCTAAACCCTCGTGGGTCATTCGGCACTTACATTAACTATAAATTTTAGTTTTCAATTTATTTCAGATTAAATTCGTTCCCAGATTACATAAAATCAGAATAAATTGCTTTAGAAAAAACTGTGGTTATATATTAGAACTGGTGAGTATATCATAGTTATCTACAGTGAGTATATCATAGTTATCTACAGTGAGTATATCATAGTTATCTACAGTGAGTATATAACTAGCTACAGTGAGTATATCACTAGCTACAGTATATCACTAGCTACAGTATATCACTAGCTACAGTATATCACTAGCTACAGTGAGTATATCACTAGCTACAGTATATCACTAGCTACAGCGAGTATATCACTAGCTACAGTGAGTATATCACTAGCTACAGTGAGTATATCACTAGCTACAGTGAGTATATCACTAGCTACAGTATATCACTAGCTACAGTGAGTATATCATTAGCTACAGTGAGTATATCACTAGCTACAGTGAGTATATCACTAGCTACAGTGAGTATATCACTAGCTACAGTGAGTATATCACTAGCTACAGTGAGTATATCACTAGCTACAGTGAGTATATCACTAGCTACAGTGGGCATATAATTATCTACAGTGAGTATATAATTAGCTACGGTAAGTATATCATAATTATTTACAGTAAGTATATCATTATCTACAATATATAGTTATTTACAGTGTATATATTGGAGTTATCTAGTGTGCGTACGTACTCATCTGTACTCACCTATTTGTGGGTGCATGGATCGAGTCACAGCTCTTAGCCTCGTCTCCTCGCTGGTCGCTACTAGGACCACTCTCTACTGCAAGAGCTTTATCGTACCTCTTCTTAAAGATATACGTGTATGTGTGTGTGTGAACTCGCCTAGTTGTGGTTGCAGGAGTCGAGTCTCAGCTCCTGGCCCCGTGTGTGTGTGTGTGTGTGTGTGTGTGTGTGTGTGTGTGTGTGTGTGTGTGTGTGTGTGTGTGAATAGGAACCAAACCAAGGGATTGATGGATAACCAGCTCTGGGTCTTTCGCAGAGTTACTAATTCCTCTTCAGATAAGAAAACTGAGACCCCTTGCTTTTAACTGTTGGCTGTGGGATGGGTCGCCAACCTGAATCAGGTGACATGCGCTTTGTTACAACGACGTGACCTGACCCAGGCTACATGTAATGACCTAGGTGAGTAATATTACAAAGGAGGAGGAACATGACTCACGTTGTCCAGAGGCGGCTGAGTGACGGTGAGTTGAACCTTCTCCTTGCAGGACCTGACCAGCTGGATGACGTGGTCACGTGGAGCTTTCTTTACATCCTCACCGTTGATCATGAGGATCTGGTCCCCAGGCAGTAGTTTGTCCTCGCTGGGGCCGCCCTCAGTCACGAACCTACACACAACAGTATTATTAATTATTATTATTATTATTATTATTATTATTATGGGAAACTGTTGAATTCTGTTTAGCAGACATATATTTTCGTATCTTCTGAAGAGGTCCTCAGCGATCAAATTTCGTACGTCTCCTATGGATACACACACATACATACACACACACACACAGCTGTGACTCGACCCCTGCAACCACACCTAGGCGAGTACACAAACCACAGATATGGTCAAACAAGTAACTTCTTGAACTCAATCCTAACACACACAAGACCATGCAAAGTGGAGGTGAGGGTAGACTGGGCGGAAACTGAAAATATCAGAGTGAAAAGGTTCCGGGGTAAACATAACACCCAGCACATCACCAGAAAGACAAACCGTATATCGTCAGCGGTATAAGCAAGATTAACAAACCTCAGAATAACATTCAGGAGCTTGAATACAGAATCCTTCACAACATTAGACATAATGCTTAACAATTTGACAACGGGCGAAATTATTTACAAACATTATCTCTCAGTCCACAGCAGGATTCGAACCTGCACACTATGCATCAAAGTACCCAGTACTTACGCCACTCAGCCAAATCCCAGTCTATGTACTTTGATACAGTGTGTGGAGGTTTGAATCATGCTGTGGACTGAGAGATCATGTTTATAAGACATACCGAACCCACACCCGGTTCAGCACGTGAACAAACTGGAAAAAATCTAAAAGTTTGCAACCAGGTTGATGCCAAAACTATGAGGAATGCATTATGAGAAGAGGCCGAAGGAAATGAACCAGACGACTTTGAAGGGAAGAAGGATAAGGAGAGATAAGACTACGACACAAAGTATCTCAAGAAATGGGGGATAGATTGTCTGAATTAAGAGAACCATTATCAAGGGGACATAAGTGGAAGTTGAAGACATAGTTGGGCCACAGGCATTTAAGGAAGTATATAGTCTCCGAGTTGACGAAAAGTGGAATGATTTGAGTGAGGCAGTGGTGGAGGCAAACTTAATACGCAGCTTCAAGAGTAGATATTATACAGCCCAAGATGTGTAATAACTAGCCAAACCTCAATGTAGTGTAGTGTTTTATCTAGCCAGACCTCAGTGTAGTAACCTGTTTTGACTAGCCAGACCTCAGTGTGCTGACCTGTTTTTTAACTAGCCAGACCTCAGTGTGCTGACCTGTATTTTAACTAGCCAGACCTCAGTGTGCTGACCTGTATTTTAGCTAGCCAGACCTCAGTGTGGTGACCTGTGTTTTAACTAGCCAGACCTCAGTGTGCTGACCTGTATTTTAACTAGCCAGACCTCAGTGTGCTGACCTGTATTTTAGCTAGCCAGACCTCAGTGTGGTGACCTGTGTTTTAACTAGCCAGACCTCAGTGTGCTGACCTGTATTTTAACTAGCCAGACCTCAGTGTGGTGACCTGTATTTTAACTAGCCAGACCTCAGTGTGGTGACCTGTATTTTAACTAGCCAGACCTCAGTGTGCTGACCTGTATTTTAACTAGCCAGACCTCAGTGTGCTGACCGGTGTTTTAACTAGCCAGACCTCAGTGTGCTGACCTGTATTTTAACTAGCCAGACCTCAGTGTGCTGACCGGTGTTTTAACTAGCCAGACCTCAGTGTGCTGACCTGTATTTTAACTAGCCAGACCTCAGTGTGCTGACCTGTATTTTAACTAGCCAGACCTCAGTGTAGTGGTCGGGACTCATCAGTCAGTGCACAAGGCGGCCACGAACGCCTTCACCACCACAAACAAACCAACCAACAGTCTGTCATACACCGCACCCTGTGAGAAGCAGGTTGCCATGAAGGCTCAACTACATACTATAGCTAGTCAAGTGCACGCTTGATATATTTACCCACCTTGAGTATACGTGTAAATATACTGCAACACCCAGCAACACCCTGTATACAGACTGGTCGTCAACCAACACACTCTTCAAACATCTGTGTATACTCTCATAACAATAGTATATACTATCATAACCTTTGCGTATAATCTTATAGCGTTTGTACATGCATTCATAACCTTTGTATATAATCTCATGACATTTGTATGTGCAGTACCTTTAAAAAATATAGAATCCGTATTACGATAAAGGTTAGCACTAAGTGCTGATCCTCTGTTTTAAAGTGGGGATGTAAACTCTGACAGTGGTAAACCAGTAATGGTTAACCAATGACTGGGTCTTTAGTTGTAAAATAAAATTATCTGGAAATCTTTTTCTGATAAAACATCTGAAAAAAAACTGATAACAATGGGATATGTCCCATGGTTTCCATAGCTAGATGTGGTACAATAAAAGAGGGATTAAATTTTAGACTGTGTCGCCCAAGCGGTTGGTTCTGAGCGCACCATATCCATCCTATGAAGTACATAAGCGTATGGGAACACAAGAGGACCGGGAGCTAGACCCCAAAAGGGGGGGCTAACAATAGTAAATTTGTGTATTTACAAATTAATTTCTTTACCTGCATACTAATGATGTTCGAAAAATCTTATATCTTATTCACCTTAATAAATTACCTTGAAATATCACACAGGTTACTGTGTAAAATGACAGTGTACAAAAAGCGACTTTAGGGTACCCCTCGCCCCTCCCCCCGCCATGCTTTAGTCACTTATCGTCTGAGTATCAAACTACCAGAAGTGTCTATAACCAAGCCTAATACTGGTAGCGAAACGTTGCCACAATAAAATGTAACATTAGTTGCATTTGTGTCCTTTTACTTAACCAAACCTAAGCCTGGCTACTACAACTGTCAGAAGTACTTGTAACCAAGCCTAAGCCTGGCTACTACAACTGTCAGAAGTACTTGTAACCAAGCCTAAGCCTGGCTACTACAACTGTCAGAAGTACTTGTAACCAAGCCTAAGCCTGGCTACTACAACTGTCAGAAGTACTTGTAACCAAGCTAAGCCTGGCTACTACAACTGTCAGAAGTACTTGTAACCAAGCCTAAGCCTGGCTACTACAACTGTCAGAAGTACTTGTAACCAAGCCTAAGCCTGGCTACTACAACTGTCAGAAGTACTTGTAACCAAGCCTAAGCCTGGCTACTACAACTGTCAGAAGTACTTGTAACCAAGCCTAAGCCTGGCTACTAAACTGTCAGAAGTACTTGTAACCAAGCCTAAGCCTGGCTACTACAACTGTCAGAAGTACTTGTAACCAAGCCTAAGCCGGCTACTACAACTGTCAGAAGTACTTGTAACCAAGCCTAAGCCTGGCTACTACAACTGTCAGAAGTACTTGTAACCAAGCCTAAGCCTGGCTACTACAACTGTCAGAAGTACTTGTAACCAAGCCTAAGCCTGGCTACTACAACTGTCAGAAGTACTTGTAACCAAGCCTAAGCCTGGCTACTACAACTGTTCAGAAGTACTTGTAACCAGCCTAAGCCTGGTACTACAACTGTCAGAAGTACTTGTAACCAGGCCTAAGCCTGGCTACTACAACTGTCAGAAGTACTTGTAACCAAGCCTAAGCCTGGCTACTGGAACTGCCAGAAGTACTTGTAACCAAGCCTAAGCCTGGCTACTACAACTGTCAGAAGTACTTGTAACTAAGCCTAAGCCTGGCTACTGGAACTGTCAGAAGTACTTGTAACCAAGCCTAAGCCTGGCTACTGGAACTGCCAGAAGAACTTGTAACCAAGCCTAAGCCTAGCTACTACAACTGTCAGAAGTACTTGTAACCAAGCCTAAGCCTGGCTACTGGAACTGCCAGAAGAACCTGTAACCAAGCCTAAGCCTGGCTACTACAACTGTCAGAAGTACTTGTAACCAAGCCTAAGCCTGGCTACTGGAACTGCCAGAAGAACTTGTAACCAAGCCTAAGCCTGGCTACTGGAACTGCCAGAAGTACTTGTAACCAAGCCTAAGCCTGGCTACTACAACTGTCAGAAGTACTTGTAACCAAGCCTAAGCCTGGCTACTACAACTGTCAGAAGTACTTGTAACCAAGCCTAAGCCTGGCTACTACAACTGTCAGAAGTACTTGTAACCAAGCCTAAGCCTGGCTACTACAACTGTCAGAAGAACTTGTAACCAAGCCTAAGCCTGGCTGGCTACTACAACACTTAATCAGTCTATTTACATTGCATGTTCACATATGGAAGTCATCGAACTGCGATGCGTGCGAAAACGCTCGTCCCATTTGAAAGATAGACTGTCCGGACACAAAAGGAACATATTTCTTCCATCACACTCCAGAGAGAAGCCTCACAGCTGACAGACGACCGAAGACCACTCAACGCCCTGTCAATTGCGGCTGTTTTCCCCGTCTTGGTCTTAAGATTCTGCTGTCATAGGGAGGCGGCAAGAAGCTGGCGAGACGAGGGGTCCCTCAGAGAGGCCCTTGATCCTTAACCCTTGACCCTGGCCTCCCAGGACGGGGTCACATTGGTTCCATTCTGGCACATATTGCGTTACGGGTCGTTGGTCTTGTTCGGGGAAGGTTGTGAGGAAGCCCAGAGCAGAAGTGTCTTCTGCAGGAAGAGGAAGAGTAGGAGGAAGAAGAAGATAAACAGGAAGGGAAAGGGAAGGATGAGGAAGATTATATGGAAAGAAAGAAAAGGGGGATGCAGCTACAGGATAAGGAAGGGTTGCATTATAAGGGAGAAGAGGAGGAAGACGATGGGGTATTGAGATATACAAAGAGAACAAGAAAAGAGTTAAAACTAAGAACTTGGGAAGGAGGAAACATAAGAACAAGATAGAGGAAGAACGGGAGAGATAAAGGAACATATTAGAAAAAAGAGAACATCTGGAGAAGGAAAGATATGAGGGAACAGAGAACACAGAAGGTGGAAGGAACTCGATGGAGAAGTTAACATGGAAGACAGAAAGCTGAATAACACTGGAGAAGGGAAAAGTGAAGAACATGACAAAGCTGATGGGGGGAAACAGAGTGCTTTATTGAAGCGTATGAAGTGTGTGTGTGTGTGTGGTGTGTGTGTGTGTGTGTGTGTGTGTGTGTGTGTGTGTGTTGTGT